GTGTGAAATAATATAGAGTTTGGAGGCATTTTTAAAATAGTGTACTTAATATTTATTTCAATATCACCTTCAAGTTTAATCTATTTGATGCTTGTTTCCCAATAATCGTCAAATATACACATAATATATTTGACAGTTATTTGTAAAGAAGTATTTTTTAAAAATATCATCATCATCATCATCATCTATTCGTTGTTTGTTTACAAATAACTTTCAAATATATCATGCATTTATTTGATCGTTCTTTGGAAAGCATCAAATGCTTATATTTCTAACAAAAAAAAATTGAAGTGTGTGTGTGTATTTGATTGTTAGGTTGTAATAACAATCAAGTATATGTTTAAATATTTGATGGTTGTTTTGAAACAATTGTCAAATATGCTCCACATTTTTTATGTGTCATTTTTCACAAATAACAATCAAGTATAGGGTGTCTTACATGGCATTTTTTGTGGTAGTTTCTTGTTGGTGATCAGTCAACAGCTACTAGTCACTGGTCAATTACTGCCAATGGTCAGTCAATGCCAAGCAATACTAATGAAAGTTGTGTGAATCTAAAAGCATTTGTGTCATTTAAGGCTGCACAAAAGTCGATCTTGCCCAACCCAATCAACCCGAACAAACCTGGGCCAGTCTGGTCCTATAAAACAATGGACAAAAAGAATCAAACTTTATCTTCGTGTTGGATTGGATGGGGAACTAAGATGTCAAACTACTTAATCTAGTTTGGTCCTATAAAATGATTTTAATATAATTATAATTACAATTATTTTTAATATAGTTTGAACTTTGAAGCCTAAGCCTTAAACACAGTGTTTTCTTATCATTTTCAGCTTTTTACTCTTTAGTCTTTAGTAAATCAACCCTAGACTTGTGGGTTTTTTTTTTAATTATTATTACACTTGAATGATGCATGTAGCAAATTACAAAAATTTACTCAAATATTTGCCAGAAAATATTGTAATTTTTTTATGCTCAAGACTTGTATTGTATTTTCACATCAAATTATATTGTTATGAGTTTGTTTTTGCAGGCATATTTTAAACAAAGTGAGATACTAGACTATCGAGATTAGTTTTCTAATTCTATAGACCAAGTCCAGTCATCTTCAACTTCAAATTAAGCTTAAACTAAACTAGACCATATTACAGGTTGCCTAAAGTGGTCCTTTCTATAAAAGATATTAGACTTTAAATTAGGCCAAAATCATATCCTATTAGTATTTTGTGTAGCCCTATTGTCCTTTTACATGGTAAATTTGATACAATTGAATCTCATGAGACTTTAGAATATTTTCAAAAATTTGTAGAACTTACTTAAATAATTAGTTTCTTATATGCAACTCATTTGTAATTTTCCATTAATCAAACCATCTGCACACTAAAAAGGAAACTAAAATCGCATGAAAGGAATCTTGTTTGATGAGAATAATATTCAATAAGAGCAATAATTATATATCTGGACCACTTTGTTTTCTGTTAAATCATCATCACCGAGAAGACTGCTTATATATTAATTATCTCATTACTTTCCGTCACCAGCAATAAAAATGGACTTTTCTTACTGCATATCTCTGCGTGCATGGACTTCAAAAAAAAAAAAACAACAACAAAAGAAAAGATATTGTACAAGAATTAATCAAATTTACACTAAAAAAAAAATTGAAACTTGGTTCTATTGATAAAATATACGTCATATTTCATAAAAACGTGAGTTTGAATCCTATAAATAATATACATATCACGTTGATAAGAAATACATAAGTATCTAAGTACTCTTTGAGATTTGAGGCTTGTTATGTTTTTAGTGAGTCTTTAAATCTAGCTCATGTATTTTTTTTTCTATCTCAAAAAATGTACACATGAATAATGTATAGTTAAGTCCAATTAATATAATTATTATCTTGAAAATTTTTCTAATTCTTTAGAAAAATTTCAACTCATGTATTATGCTTTTTTTTTTTTTTACTTTTTTAAAGTTTCTTTGTCTCTGTACAATTATACAAAACCTTCGACATGACATGAAACGCATTTTTATATATGGCTTGTAAATTTTGACTAAAGAGAATAGGGAAAGAAAAAACTTGGTTTTGACTTTTGATGGCTTTTATCTTACATTCATATATTAAAATAATGTGGAAGCCAGGTCCAGCCAATAATTTGGTTTGTTCAAATTCTTTACGTAATTCATGGGGAATGGACCTCGTATATTATTAACGAACGTGCTTAAATTTTATTAATTAGTACTGTGTAAATATATATAATAAAATAAAAGGTCAGTAGTGTAAAAGTCGAAGAGTAAGTGCCAATGAAAACTTAAAGTGGTGCCTTGTGAGATCAGCAATCAGCGTCCATAGCGCCCAATATAGGATTACCAAAGAACAAATTAATTAAAGAGAAATAATTAAAAAGAAGAATCAGATATGGAAGAAGGAATAAAGAAGTGAGCCAAACAAAAATAAAAAAGGAATATTAACATATATAGAGTTATTGATGTAACTTTGGTTTTTGTGCGTGAGGGAGAGGGAATATTGTATATAGTAAAAGATGTTTGTTTTTCACAATATAACAAATTAATATTTAAATTTTTTTTAAAAAAGGTGCTGATTGTAGTGCACGACTTTATTTTGAATATAATGACTTTTAATAGTAGGATATATATACACACACAATAAAAGAAATATTATGATTGGGCTAAAGTCATTATTATTATTATTATTTTTATGATAGCTAGAGTCAAGATTTGAGATTTCAACACAAGTCCACAATATTAATAGTAATCAATAGCAATATCTAAATAAAATGTAAAATCTAGTATAAATCACATTTACATATTTTTGACGAGATCGATAACTCATTTTTAAGATTTTATATAATTTACAGGGCCATTTGAAAAATATAACTATATAAATTAAATATAGATTTTATTTTCTCAAACTTTCTGCAACATACGAAACCTATGCTAGCTAGTTTTTCAAACACTTGGAAAGCACACAAAAAAAGTATAAATAAAAATGAGAGAACAGTTTTGATATGTGTGTCCTGTGATTAAGCAACAAATAAATGGTGGGAGTTGTGGGGTTTATTGTAATTGCATGGGTTCACATGTTAGGCTAAACAATTGGAGGATTATAACTTTCCACCACACAAACAACTCATAAATTATGACCCACGAATCATGCGTGTAACAGCTCGATTAGATTTGGTCTCGTTTACATATTTAATTATTATACAATTATTATTATTATTATTAATCATCATCATCATCATCGATCTTCACAATAATAAATTCATATAAATATGACATATTAACATGGTATTAAAACCCATCCTAGGTATTTATGAACGGATGGACAAGTTTCCTTGCCAATCCAATCAAGAGTTGTGAATGGGTTGACAGTAGATTTGACTTTTTTCTCCTCATATTGAACTTGAAACGGCAATACTCCGTAAGATTTATGTTTAAGTACTTTTGATTTTGTTGGATAATTTGTGTTTTATACATAAATTTTTCATTCACTTTTTTATTATTATTTTTTATTTAAATATTACTCTCTTCTGGATCCTGTATAAATATTTTTTGTAAATTTAAATCGTATTATATTTTTTTATTGCTCATACGTCAATCCTATTCGAAGTATGATCGATCACTAAATATGAGCACTTCTCCCAATGATGATTTAAATTTTAGTTTGTTACATTATGAGAGACTAACTAGTTCCTTCTACTAGACTCAATCTCATAAAAAATTTAATTATATATTTTAATTATAATGAAGTATGTCTTAACCTTAATTATTTAAACCGTGATATGACTAAGTACAGATTATTTTAATTATTGTAATTCTGGATTATATATATATAAACCATTGTCTCAATCACTTGAATAATTGATTCGATTTTCACTACCTTGCATCCTACTATATATAATATTTACTTCAGCTATAGTATATGTCTCAATCTATAACCATTATTAGATCAATCCCTTATTATTAGTTCAGCAATATCACTTTCTTTATTACTTTTCGATATATCCGTGGATCTAATTAACTCCACCATCATCTCATTTCTCTTTTTACCTAAAAAGCCACACTTAATTCGTTTTGAAACTTGCAATATTAAAGATCTTTCGGATCTGTAATTCATCAAACACCACGATTTACCCTCAATTAATTCTAGATTTATTCCCCTAATAATTTCTTAGAAAATCATAATTTATATTTACACTGATTTTAAAAACACAAATTAAATATTGCAGTTTACATATCTCTGAGTTGAGCGTGTCGCTTATGTGGATGAAAATGAATGTACAGCTTATCAAGCATATAAAATAATTAGAGACAATCGCTTTCATAGATATAGCGTCCAAGGACGATATATAATATAATACAAATGGGACATATATAATAAAATCATTATATTATTAGTATTGATTGGTAATATATTGTACTAATAATAATAATAATAATAATAATAATAATAATAATAATAATTAATAAGGAAAAATTAATCGTGTGTTCCTTGTAGTTTTAATTATATTGTAACTCAATCCTAAATTTTGACTCATTATAACTATATTCTTATACTTTTAATTCAATATCTTATAGTTTTAACTATTTAAAATATTAGTCCCTGTATTTTTAAAAATAAAATTATAAAGATTAAAAATATTTTAAAATTTTAATCTTTATAATTTTTTATGAAGATCACAAAGGTTTAGTAACTTAAAATATTTTAAATAGTTATTAAAATTATAAAAACTAAGTTACAATTAAGTCAAAACTATAAAGACTAAGTTATAATGAATTAAAATTTAAGGATTAAGAATTACAAGGACCAAAAGATTATTTTTTCTAATAATAATAATAATAATAATAATAATAATAATAAGAGAAAAATTGAAGAGAGAGAGAGAGAGAGAGAGAGCACAAAAAATCTAGGCATATAAAAGACTTTGAATCTATGCACAATCTGATCCAGCGGTGCAATAATTCCTGATAGGGCCAAACAGCCTTAAAAAGGAATTTCAAGATCTCCGACTTCCCAGCAAATCTGCTTCCAAAAACCTCAAGCTCAGCCAGCCAGCTTTCTTCTATATATATATATATATATGTCCTCTCCCCTTCTATATCTCTGAGATCTCTCTCTCCCCCCCCCCCTCTCTCTCTCTCTATATATATATATATTTATATATGAGTCTTTCTCAATTCTCACATCAGATTATCTCATCAGAAGCATAACTATGGGAAGTAGCTATTTTGGAGACCCAAATAACAACATGATGAGAAATGAAAGAGCAAATGGGATATCTTCTTCTTCATCATCCAGAAAAGGGAAGAAGAACAGTTCAGATAAGCCAAAGCAGCCACAGAGAGGTCTTGGAGTTGCTCAGTTGGAGAAAATCAGACTACATGGCCAAATTGCTTGTGCTTATCCTCCTCCTCATTTTCATTCTCCTTATAATAGCGTCCCTTCTTCCTCCTTCACCCATGTAAGTCATCAGTTTAACCACTGGGCCGACCCGATCTGACCCGATCACCCGCGTTTTTCATGACAAGTGAATAATGTGACTTCTTTTATATATATATATATATACAGAGGTTTCTTTTTATGTGCAGGAAGATCCAACACTTCAAACGGCTTATTCATCACTTCCATCTTCATCTTCATCATACGCTGCTTCATATGGCTTCCATCCCAACGTTGTGGTATGTTTTTATCTTTTAATTTTTCTTATAGATATATATATATATATATATATAATTAACTATTTACTGTTTATGATGATCACTCCCCACGCTTAATTTGGTACTTTTTTAAACAAAATTAATTTGTACCCCAAACGAATCAATGTAATCAATCAAAAAAATCGAGTTTGATTTAGTTTAATAGCCTCAACCTTAGCTGGCTAGTCAATTAGTAATATTCAGGTTCTGAATCTAAATTTGTTAATGTTGCTAACGCAGATGGGAGTGCCTGAATTTGAAAGAACAAACGTCAGATACGATTCTCAGCCAAGGTACTTAATTATATAAGTAAAAGTAATTAATTTTCTTGGAAGTAATTAATTAATTATATGTTTCGCTTTTAATTGTGATAAATTCTTGTCTGATATTTAACTTTGTGCATTTCATTTTTACCTTACCAGATCATGGGACCATTCCAACCCAGTGTCAAAGACTCAACCTCTAGCTCAATCCAACGTAACTAGACCCTTTCTTAACCTATATGTAAGATTTTCCCCATAAACCACGCAAGTCTAAAATGATGTGTGTGTGTGTGTGTCTGTGTGTGTGTGTTTAATATTAGGGTATCCCATGTTTAATTATTATTATTATTATTTTGCTATTGTCAGGATTCACATCATCGTAGTGGATCTGTGAGGTCGAGCAGTCAGAATTCTGAATCAAGTGACAACCAAGAACTAGATTTGGAGCTGAGATTATCTATTTAATTAATCGGAAATATAATTTCCATTGCCACTAGAAATTGAAGAAATTATCGTGAGAATTAATGTACTAATAGCTTTCATTTACAAATTAATTAGAGTATTATTGTAGAAGTACAAAGGATGAGCAAGCCATCAGAGCGATTGTGCATGTTGCCTTGTTTGTCTTAATTAATCAAGTTTTATTTTGATATCTTGTAATATTGATTATATAAACAAAATAGACTTTTTGGCTAAAACAATATGGCCGAAAGGTTTTCTCAAAGAAATTACCAGAGTTTGAGAAATTGCTCTAATTATAATCTCTCTAAATAATATAGGGTTACTTTTAGGATATAATTTACTCCAAATATTATTTTACGCAGTAGTCTAATTTCCTTTCTTAAGTTTACTTTGTTTCCAATTTTCCATCATATATAACATGCAACGTCTTTTGAAGAATGAATATACTGTTCACAAGCTATTGCAATATAAATATATGACTTGGCATATACATTTAAAATGTTAGATATTATATTGATATTGCAGTACTGTTAAAAATCATTTTGTAATCCAAACAATTAATGAGTAGTTATGATATTATGATTATATTCCATCACTCAACTAATATACATATGATTGTACAAGATTGATCCCATTGATAAAAATTGAACTAATATGTATAAACTTTACCTCTTGTATTGATTTGTTAAAATTATGATGAATTGTATAAAAAATGAGTGAAAGACAAAAACAACAAGCAGGATATTAAATCATGATTCTTAATGTGCAATGGATGAAACTTTAGAAAGCAGAAAACACACAAATGTTAGGGTATTAATGTCCAACTCGTCATAATTTTATCAACTTGCCAACAAAATTATGTACATATTAGCATATTTAACTCTGTTAGTGATAATAAAGATTAATGTTGACATTTGAAACTGAAGAAACTTGGAACAATGAAATAAAACAATAGAGATTAATATCAAAACACATTAAAAGTATAGGAACTAACAGTTGTATTTTCTCATCATAAAATCAGAGTTCATTAGATTGGCCAGACTTGTAATCTAATCATTGTCACTGTTAGCTTTTTTCTGGGCATATAGTTAACTTATTCCACTATCATTTGGGAATCATATGGTTCATAATCCTTTTGTTGATGGACATTCTGGAAACACAGAAACATTCCCTTTGTTCAATCTATATATTAAATGGAATATGAAAATAGTTTGGATGTTTAATTGCAAAAAACTTCAAAAAAAAAAAAATGGCCATGTGCTTTGATAATGGTTCTCGCCTTGATCCCATTGCCATTTTCTGTGATAGAAGGATATATATATATATATATATATGTATGTATGTATCTTTCCTCATCATATAACAGCAACGTATAGTATTGTCAATGAGGATATTTTTCACTTGTTTTCCCTTTTTCATTCCCAGAATTATTTTACTTCTCTTTTTAAGCTCACCGCCTTCCTGCTTATCCTTCTTAGAACTGTTAAACTAGTATTGTAATTTTCTTGTTTATTTTAGTTAAGTCATGTTTGCCTGCTTTTATTAAAAAAAGCTCTTCAGGGCATATAGTCAGAAGTGATTGTTTAGTCGTACATGGCAGGATTTCTAGTCTCCTTGATTGCAATATTTTAAAGTGCAAAAAACCATTTTTTCCCATACTTAAAAAAAAAAAAAAAAGCGTTGGAGGGTGGGGCAATATCTCCCTAACTAAATATTTTTTTAGGAGCAAAATAAATCATGCTTCCATTAGAGACCAGCCATTTTCTCTGTCATCTTCTAACATAAAATAGTTTTAGAGCTCATATTCTTTATTTACATCTTTTGGGCAATGATCTTACTCACAAGAAATAAGCATAATAATAAATTAAATCATGATATGCAATTAAATAATGAATAATTAATTATTTATTTTTTACTTTACCTTTTTCTGCTATGAGTAACATTAAGTCACCATATGCATCAAATTCATTCTATTGCCATGAGTGATAATAAGTCTCCACAGGTACGTTGAATTTTTATTGAATAATTTTTCAATATATAGCATGAGAAAAATGGTAAAATAAAATATTGTGTAAATAATTTAAAATTTTCATATTGTAAGGAAAATATAGAATTTTAAAAGGCATTAAGGTCATTTGAATGTCCACAAGTGACAATAAGTCTCCGTAGACATATTAGAAACCTTTCCTTTTAAATTACTTTTCTATGTTGACAAAGCAAATTTTTAAAATAAGAGAAAGTATAATAACAAAAACATTTTCAAAATATAAAATGGGAGTAAGAAAGTGAAACTAAATTATGTTGGCAAATTTAAACACAGCACATCTTAGAAAATTGTTTTGTTTGTCATTGATAAGTTATTTTCATTTAAACTTCTCTTTTTTTGTTTTAAATAAAGAAAACCATTGATAATAGTCTTTTGCCTGAACTACGTGGATTTTGATCCCTATCACAGGGTACGTAGGCCTTAGAGTCAGATTCTGAGTCAAATCCTCCCTCGTAAATAAATAAATATTTCTCACTTAATTCTTATCATTTTTTAAACAAATGAATATAAAAGGGATAATTACAATAATTTTAAAACTATATTAATATAGTACAACAAACTTTAGGTAACCATTCTCACAAACGGGTGTTGTGGGGTACCTAACACCTTCCCCACACTCAATCGACTTTCGAACCTATTCTTTATTTTCACAGACCATCCTTATCAACCTTTAAACAGTTTTCCAAGATTTTTCTTAAAATTTTGGTGGTGACTCCCATTTCTTTGGTCTTCCTTTTGAAGGCCGAAACCTCCGCTCTAGCACCGTCCGTGTTGCATTTCCAGGTACGACAGTTGATGACTCCATTGGGGACAGTTAGAAAGTCAAGCCTATATAAGTTTGTTATGCTCAAAATATAATATGGTTTTTCTTTTTATTATTATCATCTCTTTTTAATTTATGTGTGCTTTTTCCCCTTCTGTTTCTCTTCTCTCTCTTTCCATTTTTTATAACATGTTTTAGGATAGATAACATGTGAAATAAATCCTAAAATAGATTACTTTTATTTGTATATATATTTATCTCTTTGTTTGACCTAATTGGTAAATAAGGGATGGGGAATATCAGATTTGCATACACTTACCCTCACACACATAACGGGCCCTATACCCAGGTCTAAAGGAGCCTTAGATTAGCAGAAGTTGGTAATGGTTTTCCTGAGGAATGTTCATGTTCCCGGAGATTATTGTGAAAACTTCACCCGAGTTGTTACTTATTTATTAAGTTTACTCCTTGAAGGGTTGAAAAGCTCACAGAGGAATAAATTTATTAAATGGGGTTTCTATCTTCATGGTGGAAGCAGCTTGGTTGCCTATGTTAGGATTGTTAGATCAAACCAAGAACTTTGCACATAATAAGTGAAGCCTGCTAATATCCCTATAGTATGTTGATGAAGTGCTCCTGAGATATCCTGACTAAGGATAATATTTGATGTAGGACAAAAAAAACATTTTATTCCACATCATTTCCTTAAACAAAGAACAGATAGCAAATTTATTAATTTTTCGTTCATGGGTATTAAGTGTCATCAATGTTAAAATATACTATTTGGATTTTAAATATTCTATAAAAGCCATCAGTAAATATATATATATATATATATATATCATTTAATTGATGGGCATTTTCCTTAAGAAGCAGTAAGGAGTCAGAGGAGTGAGTAAAGTTGCTAATGAGTTAGTGTTAGTTAATTAGACTTGCAAAAAAAAAAAAATTTAACTATAATTGTGAAAACACTCCATCTCTTATAAAATAAACTCTAGTTTTTACTCCCCTGAAATTCAATAAGGATTTGGAGAGATAGAAGCCATGATTAAATTCAACAAGTTTACTCCTCTAAAAATTATATTTGTGACATAGTTTCTTTTCATTTATTTTCTTTTTTTTTCTCTTATTATAATAGGAAATAAAGTGGATTGTTAAGAAAGGTTAGCATACGAGTGAAAAGCACAATGAATGTCATGGATGCAATTCCAACGGAGTAGTGTATAGATGATAGAACACATTTGTTACCCACTTTTATTTGTCAATTAGGACCATTTTATTAATTATTTATCACCTTCAAGTGCACACATTGCATTAGATTTGGAACTTTGCCTAAGTTTCTAGGTTCAGTGCACTAGGGGCATTTTGGTCCAAAAAATGAACTTTTGAGAAAATGTACAAGAAAAATTGACAAAGTGTATTTTATGTCCAGTTGATGAATGGTGAAATTATATTTTTAAAATTCATTTTAGTTTGGGAGTAATTAAATAAAAAAGTCAACACTTTCTTAAGTGTCTTAGTTTGTCCTAGTCTTTGGTTTGCCTTTGTGTGAAAATTTTTATATAATTTTGTGCAGCCTGAAACTTGGTTAATTTAATAAATTCTCCCTTCTAATTATGAATTTAATTCTGGACATGAATTAGATTTTATTATATCATATGCTATTTAATTGAATTATGTGATTTATGTGACATAGGTGGCATGTGACTTGTGCATCAATTGGGCAATTGAGGTCAACACTCCTTGAGGTCAATGGCTGATGGTTTGCACGTGAATTATGATTATTTTGAGGGATTAGATCAGCTAAAATGATGTGGATGACACATGGAAAATTAGGCACACATTGGAATCATCTACAAACCAATAGAAAGTTGCCACCTTGCAAGTGTGACAAGGCTCCTATTTACATTTTAATTTCTTTTTCCTTATTTTAATTAAGCTTCAGCTGATGGGAGACACCAAGGAGCACGCCATTTTAAGTCCCAAATGGGATCCAACACAGATCTCATTCATCTTCCACATTCTCTCTCTCTCTTGTTCATAGTGTTCTTCATTTTCTCTCTTTTGTTCTTCATTTTCCAGCACCCTAACCTCCATTTTCAGCCACCAAACCTCCATAAAACTCATACCATTCTTCTCCTCTCTTCATTTTCGTTCCATCCCTTCCACTTTCATAAGGATTGAAGCTCATTTCCATCATTCAAGAGCTATGGAGTTTGGCCTTCACAAGCAATCACTAGGGTTCTTGAAGATGAAGATTGGTTAAGTTTCTTTGTGGAATCCTAGAGAGATGAAGATGGAGGATGAGTCTTGAGCTTCAAATTGGCTAAGTTCTTCTGTTTCCTATCCTCTTCTCTTTTTACTAGATGGTTAGATTCCTTAATCTAAGGTTTAATCATCTTAGGTTATGAATTCTAATTTGAATTTGATGTTGATATAAAGAGAGAGGATTGTTTCAT